TTCTGCAATGAGTTTGTCTCATGAAAGCAGTTTAATATTATGTCCTAATGGCGAGCAAAGCCTGGCTGCTCAGCTGCTGGATTATCAGGTTCCGAATGTTCTGTGTGATTTGTCATTGAAAGAGGAAACATCTAATATCATAAGGCTGGTTCCTGATGGAAGTGCATTGGTGTGAACTTCCCAAATAGTGAGATCCATGCACCGAGAGGATCTAATAAAAAATGTGGTCCTGACATTTTCATCAACAATTAAAAAGCATTTTTAATCTTCAAACTTTTTCGGAAGGAGAGGAAGGTCCTCCTGTGGACCCTGTAAGGACCATTGTGCTCATTGGAACATGGGTGACAAAGGGAGGCACTGAGGCGGAGAGGAGGACCCTGCAGGACAAGTCACGCCTGCGCAGGCAAGGGAGGCACACAGCAAGCCCTGCACAGAAACCCCGAGTCGTCCAGATAAGTCAGGCTACAGTTCTGCTTTACGATGAGTTACTCTGTAGTACTGACAGTTTCAAATCTGCAGTTCTTCTCGTGTGAAAATACGAGCTGATGGTGTGAACCCGGGATCACATCTTTGGTTTGACGCATTCATCCCTCTCCTTGTTATGCTCGTTTCGGTCTGTTTGTTGCCTGGTTCTCCATCGCTGGCGGAGAAGACTCCTCTGTGAGGGTTTCGTCTAACAGAGGAGCTACTTGAGTGGCAGGGAGGACAATCGTTCCCTTAGATCTGCAGATTAAGCGCATCCTCAAGGGCTGTAGCAGGAATAACAGTTACATTTAAGATACTTTGTTTTGAAAAAGAGGAAGTGTTTGTATTTAAACATAGCCTCTTGTATGGGCCAGGTGGTTGTAAGATTTCATTTCAGGGTGGCCGGGTGCATGTCACAGCATCTGCGGGTGTGATTTCTGATCATGGGACTCGTATCTTCTGCAGAACATGGTTTGGTTTATATTTCCATGGATATGAAGGGTGCGGTCCATTCTGGAATCGAGTAAAGATAACTTTCTTAAGTCCTCTTTAGGCTTCCATGTCACTTATGTTACTTTATTTTTTTAATGTATCTTTATTGTTGAAAGTATTACAGATGTTCTCTTTTCCCCCCATTGATTCCCTCCACCCCACACCCATATCCTCTCCCAGGCCTTCACCACACTGTTGTCTGTGTTCGTGGGTTATGCATATAAGTTTTTTAGTTAATCTCTAAATGCTTCTCTAAACAATGTCTGGTAACAGAAGGTGTGTGCCTGACCTCCCTAGCTGTTGAGGATGCTATAAGGTACCCGTAGCTGGTGGGTGTGGCAGGTTGAACAATGGCCCCTCAAAGACATCTCCATCCTAATCCCCCAAACCTAAGGGCGTGTTACATGGGAGGACACTGCTGATGATGTTAAGGATAAATATGCTGTACTTTATAGTTGGATGTGATGACGAAAATTTGTCACCATGCTGGTTTGGCAAGGGACAAAGACCTCAGGGCATCACCAGTGGCAAGGGCTCATGGTAAGGAAACCTGTGGGTAACTGAGCTGGAAAGTATTGGGGGACAGAGGCAGCCCAAGGCCACTGGTATTCTCTCTGCCCCCCACTCGCCATCCACACGGCTTCGCATCTCAGGACTGCGGTGTTCTCTGCACCCCCACTCTGGACTGGCTCTCACTCCCGTCTTCCCATTTCCTGGCCCAAACTCCAGAGAGCAGCCTGCTGACTTAGACAGTGGCTGTCGTTCCACCCGGCAGGGTCCTTCACAGCACCATGCGGGTCACCGGCCAGCTGCACGTAGACAGAGAGGCGGGAAGCTACGTCAGCCGGTCGGAGAAGTAGGCCCAGAACTCACTGTGGTTTCTTTCTCTTTCTTTCTTTTTTAGATTTTTTATTGATTTTTAGTGAGAGCGGAAGGGAGAGGGAGAGAGAAGCATTGATGTGAGCAAAACATTGATCGACTGCCTCCTGCACGCCCCCTACTGGGGATCAAGCCCACAACCATGTGCCCTGACCCGGAATCAAACCGGCCACCTTTTTGTGCACAGGACGACACTCAGCAGCACTGGCAGGGCTCACTGTTTCCAATAACAAATACAACACCAGGCTCTGACTGAGAAAATGCCTCAGTTTCCACTTGTTTTTAAAACTTAAGAGAATCTAACTAATGTGGATGAAGTGGGTGGGGTTTTTTTGTTTCCTTTCTCTTTTTTTTGGATACGATGCCATATTTTTTGTAGTCTGCATAATTCAAATATATTTACATAATTCGATCAAACCTGTGCTATTAGGCTCCTTCCTGCTGAGCAACAAGGCTGATTTGTGGGAAACCGCTTTCTGCCTCCTGACCCGAGACCCTCCGCAGGAACACAGGCTCTGTGCGACCCCAGGGTCAGCGCCCTGCAGACCCGAGCCTTCCTGTACTGAGGTGATTTACCCGTCTGCTGGCGGAGCATCTCGTGTTTACAGTGCACTTTTCTTGAGTGAAGCCTTTATCTAATCCTCACAGAAATCCCCCTGACAAAAGCATTTCTCATTTTATGGATGAGGAAGTTGTTATAGAAAGTGACTTATCCAGACGCCCTGGGAATTAGTGATGTCGGGATGCGCGCTCTCTATTTGGTACCCAGCACCCAGTAACTCTCCGCGCTCCTTAATACCTGTGCATAAAATGTGTTTTCTAGAGGAATTAACCCCAATAAAAGCGCCCCTGAAACCAAGCGTGACACTGAGAGAGGACAGGGTTTTTGATCCTCACGCAAACCAAAGCTCGCTTAGAGGGATCTGCGTTCCTGTTTGTGGATTTGTTCATTTCTTTGCTGTATCTTGGGTGTGTGTTTTTTTAAATCCCTCCAGGACATTTTAGCAGGTTAAGGCTGACTAGAGGACCTTTAACCTCTGTGCCTCCCTACCTGAGCGCAGGCACAGCTCCTGCCTGTGTCCCCCGAGCAACGGTTGTCAGTGCCCGCCCCAAAGCCATGCGTCTTGCTGTTAGACCAGTTTTGTTAGAATATTTGGGGTTTTGTTTGTTTGTTTGTTCTTTGAATCCCATGGATGGATCCTTCTGCTGCCTTCTGGAACCTGTGAGATAAATCTCCTTTTCTGAGTACCAGCCCTTCGAAGAATTGGCAATAACTGTAGCTCACTAATATGTCTTCAGCATGTCCGCTTGTGAACCTAAGCTCCTCAACCCCCCTCCCGTGGGTGACCCTCGAGCCCTCACCTGCTCTTATTCCATCTCCACAGGCATTTCCTAACTCGAAGAATTCACTTCCTGTCCCATGACGTCTCGGGGCGCCCTGCCTGAGTTACATTTTATGTGCGTTGCTATAATGTTTGTCAACTTCCTCTGTGCCATTTGACAGTCTACCAAGATATAATAAAATTTCAAGTGTGATCAAAGTGTTATAATTAACATCATTCTAAGAACATTCTGGCAACTACAGAATTAACCACAAGCTGAGTCAGAAATACAACCTTGGGTGCCAGAAAATAGTCATTAATCATACACTTCTAAAAAGGGTGTTATTCACTGCTTTAACTCCAAATGTTCATTCACTAAGAGGAAAAGAGTGTATCATGTATGCACCTAAGCGAAGTCCTCAGACTCAGTCTCTACTAATTCATCTAATATCTGTTTACTCAGGTATTGCTGGTGTCTGATACAAGATTCCTGTTTGACACAAAGCCCACAGTGCATTTGGTGTTTTAAGAATTAGAAAGTCAACAGGTGATAGCATTGCCCACACCAAATATTCCAACCATTGAAGCCTTTCAGCCTTTTCTCTTTTTAAATGCATCCCCCCAAAAAAGCCAGGTGACTCCATGTCTGTCTAATTCTCAGCCTTGTCCCCAAAGTAGGTTCCTTCTCTGACTCCCTCCCGTTCCAGCAGTTACTTAGTGCCACTGATAGGATGTGGGGGGCATAGGCCTCCACTCGCTTCCTTCCTCGCATGAGGAGGGGGGCAGGTGTTTCACATCTGCATGAGTCTCCACCCCCCCCAGGGTGGAAGTGGATCCCAGAGGCCAGAGTGAAATGCTGCCAGGCCCAGGACAGCATCAGCCAGGTGTGTGGAGGCAAACTCAGAGCACTGTGGTCCCCGATGTCACTGTCCACCACAGGCAGAGCACTGTGGTTCCAGATTTTAGTGGATCCTAGAAATTTTCATATTACAGGACTTGTATGGTGAAAACGTGTGAACTGGATTGGCTTAACTTTTCAAAGTTATAATGTATTACCATAAATAAGAGTTACAATTTGGGCCTCGAGCTCCACTTTCTAAGCATGGTCATCCGGTTAGAGGAAGCGAGGAGCTTGTGGGGGATGCAGAGCCGTTATGTTGTGTTCATTGCGTTTCTTTCCTGCTTCTGTAGTTTCCTTTTGTCTTAGTAATTTACTTTCATTAAAATTTTCTCTACAATCTGAATATTTACCAGTGAGTTGATTATGCTCTGGGTGAAATGCAATTTGAACGATATTAATTGGGAGTTATATTTGGAGACTTGAAGGGAAAATTTAATTTTTTGGACTGAAATTGAAGCCAAAGCACATTAGTGTGTATTGTTGCTTCCTCAGAAAAGATGTCATAGCTAAAGATCAAAGCAAAAGCAAGGATTTGGTGGCATTAAAAGTAACCCAAAATTCTAAAGCAATAATGACATCGTTTCTGCCTATCTTATTTTTCTGAATTTCCTGACGTATCAATTTCAGCCCTAAGTTACGAATAGTTTAGCAGAGCCCAGAATGGCTTTTGTATGATGACTCCTCAGCTTTACTAGTTTCAAAAAGAATATACATTGTGAACTTATTACAAACACAGCAACTTTAGGACTATTTGTCATCTGCCCCGAGGCGGCTGTCTGCAGGTTAGCTCCTCCCACTTGGTTCAGTGGGAATCCTGGGGGGGGCCTTGGTCACTGCAAAGCCTCTTCTGGGAAAAGGAGCTGGTCGCTGGAGCTCACACTGTGGAGCAGCTGTGTCGGGAGAGGCCTATATTTTGTGTCTGTGTCGTTTCCTTTCCACAGGTAAAATCTCAGAGGCACACGTGCTCAGAGATCCGACCACAAACCCTCACTCTCAAAATGCACCAGAGTTGACGGGAACGATGGGTGAGCAGGAGAAGGCTGGGACCGAGGACAAAGGACTGGTCAGGTGAGAACTCAGTGAAACCTGTAACACATGCCAGCTGTGCTGCTCAGCCTGCCCTGGAAAATCTCCGTAACCCCCACGGAGGGGAACAGAGAGCAGAATGATGGGGCCATGACTGGCCGGGACCGAAGGCGGCTTCTGTCCCGCTCGTTGTCGATGACCAGCCCCTTGAGGCCTCTGATCAGGATGTAGGCAGCAGCTGACTGTGGGCAGGTCTCACCCACAGAAGCGTGGCCGCCCTGTGTCTGAGTCATTAGGTCCTGGGGGAGCTGCCCATGTGCTCCCTGGGCACGGATTCAGAAGAGGGATTGAGGGGACGTATGGCTCTCCTCCACATTCACAAAGTGGCTGCTCCAGTTCTGTAAGCATTTCATTTTCCCAGAAGATTGACTGTTATTTCCTTTCATCTGCCAAGGCCAGTGTGGCCCAATAACCAAGTATAATTATGGAAATGGGCGACCTCGGTGCCACTGAAGGAGTACAGCCTCATAAGTACCTCCCACCAAACCACTGGGACTATCACAAGAGACGGCAGCTTTGACGTGAGCCAGCGAGTTCACAGTAAAATGCAGGATTAAAAAAAAAGTAGTAGTATGTATATATAGATATCTATAGATATACATATCTATAGATATCTATATATACAGGGATGGGCAAAAGTAGGTTTACAGTTATAAGTACATGAAACAGTTCATCCTTGTGTTATTACGTATTGATTCCTGTTTTATTTATTTGTATTACACTGTAACCTACTCTTGTCCACCCTGTGTATATTTATGTTATATGCAGCATAATAGTCATGTATTATGTATAGATTATTCATCTGTGTGTGTCTTTGGTGGTAAACTTCCTGCTAGAGCCTCCCCCTGTGTCTCCTCTTCCTAATCGCCAGAAGTCAGATGCAGACGCCAGGGCGAACCGGGTGGGGTGAGCGCCGTGGGAATGCTCCCGGTGGGCGGTGAGACATGAGTCAGCAGATGAGCGAGCCCATGGCCCTGAGGGAGGAACCAGCCCACAGGCTCAGTTTGTGGTCCCCTTGTAATCACTTCGCTATTTATCAGGAGAGATGACAGATCCGTTGCCTGTTGCCATAGAAAACAGGGCAGGCAGCTTGTGTCTGCCGCCTCTCCCCTGGCACAGAAGCAAGGAAATCAGACAACTTTCGTATTGTTCTGCAGCACCTAAATGGTGATGTTCAGACCTGGTCTTCTCGTGTCCCTAGCAAAGCAGTGGAAGCAGGGGCTGACTGATGGATGATTGACAGGGTTTCTGAGGCAGGCAGGTGACACCCATGGGTGAAGCACACTGAGGACGAGCAAGCAGGAGCAGAGGCGGGCCAGGGTCAGCGTGGGTGCACCCAGAGCCTCCTGCCACAGAGAGCCAGTCTGTCTCAGAGCTGCCCTGTGGAATTTGGGTCCCTAGTGACACCAATATCATTTGATTTTTCAAGAAAAGCCCGAAATCTGGAAGTCCATATTTTGAGTACCACTGGATACATTAAAATTCTTTTAAACTACAGGCCAAACAGAACAGCTGTCAATCACCAGTTTACCGTCTGCCGAGGTCACAGTTACAAAGGTAGAGACCCGGTTGGTCCACAGGGAAAGCCTTCGTGGACGCCTTCCCAGTGTCGGCTTGTCCGGAGGACAGAGTCGGTATGAGAACAGTCTGTGCACTTCAAGTAATAACTCTGTTCTGTTTCCTTTAAGTGTAATTTTTGTTATTTTTAGTATCTGGATTTATAGTGTAGTATATTTTTAGATATTGTATTTTAGGTATCTTTTGTCTCATGTTGTTTAATAAGCGTCTTCCACGTTAACTGCATGTTTTTGCGGCCAGTCTCTCTCTGCATTCATGAGTCCACGTGTGTGTCAACAGCAGACTTCCTCCTAGAGGGACGGTCTCTGCCACGGGAGGTGTGGCATGTGGTTGGCAGCCCGTGGATTTTCAAGAAGCAGCACAAAGGCTGTACAGACAAATTGAGGGAAGCAGCCCCATTAGCAGCTGAAAACAAGCTGGCCTGTGGGGCCATTGCTGGAGAGGAGCCACCAGGGCCCTGCTGTGGTTCCCACTGCCCTCCGGTGGGGGGGGGGG